TAAGTCGACCGCTATGAGGCTCATCTTCAAGGCTGAAACTCCAGAACGAAGGTTGCTGAGCCATTGCCGCACAGTGCTTTCTTTAGCACTATTGGGCCTCCACACCTGGTTAATTTGTTGAGCTGTTTCGATTGCGGATTGCCCCAATTTATAGTCGAAGAAAAAATCGTCCGAAGTGCTCTTTTCACATGCTTGAAAAAAAAAAAGGGGGTTTATCAAGCAATGGTGAAACGGCAATTATACCATCAGATAGCGCAAGAAATTCTCTACAGGATGTGCTACTGAGAAGCAAGGCAGAATGAGTTTTTAATCAGCAGTGAATGTACAAAAAATAGGTGCACAAAACGCTGAGAACTTTCCGGACAACCTAATACAAAATCGTCTGCCAACCTTCATTGGTAAAAAATCCGCTGCTGGGGATTTCCCTGGCCAACTGCTGAAACTTCAAGAGCACGGGAGATTTGACGTTTTAGGAACCATATTTCTTCACCGAAATGCACAAAACAGAAGAAAACAAAAGCGAGTGATGAATATGAAAACATTTCCCTCCTCCTCACTTCAAATCGTTTATGGTAATCCAACCCGAAAATGCCAACGAAGCTATCGCCATTCAGAGAGGCATTGCTGACTTCACACATGAATTTCAAGTATTGGTGCAGCTTTTAAGGAGCACAAGATTTCTCAACTTCACTGGACTTCAAGTTTCACTTTCACTTTGGAAGTACCTATTACAGCGTGGGTCTCACTTTTCCACTAAATAGTGTCATTCACACTAATACTTCACTGACTTCCCTCCACCCTCTATCTTTTTCAGACGCAGTGAGTAAAGAAACATAGCCTTGTAACTTTCTGAAGCTGGATCTCTACAAGGTCAACAAAGGTTTTGGGAAAGTAATCTCGAAGCTGCTCAAAACGTTTGCTACTAAACGAGGTGGGTAAGAACTAGAACCTGTGCTGGAAGCGACTTATGGATCTCCTTCTTTGGAAAAGTGCTCACCTCTCCCATCAGCCTACCAATTGCTGCTCCCAGAACAAAAATGGGCATAAACACACCGGAGGGAACCGGCAGAGTCATACACACGATGGAGAAAACGAACTGAAAATATTCGAGCAATCCTCCTGCCTTGAGTCCAATGAAAATGTAAATACTCACATGCACTGTGATGAAGATGGTTAGAAGAACTAGAACATTGACTGGTTGACCAAGCCAGTGATCCGAAACACCTGTTTTACAAGCGAGAAATGAGGGTGGCGTCTCAGAGAAGGTGCAATTACTGAAGAAATCCCTCAGATTCAGACCGAACCTTTGCTGGAACAATGCTTTTTAGAGGTGGCTACATTGTTCAATTACACGATGGTGATCAATCTAGGAGGGCGCAGTTTGTCGACGGGGGGCATTTTGCTTTCCATAGATGTGTCGACCCATCTAGGCAGCCGTTTCTCGAGTTGACACGTTTTAGGATAGTGGCTAGACGATCTTAGTTCAGCTTCACAAGAGTTCACAGTTTTACCAGAGTGAGATTTGTAAACCGGAACTAGGGAAGCAAAATGATAACACAAAATGCCTCCGCCGACAAA